GATCCAGTTATCATTCTTAAGGTCTTCATTTCAGTAGTTCGTAGGATTCTCTTTGTTACTGATGTTTCAGCTCTGGTTTCCGCACCATATGTCATCAATGGTCGTATGCAGGTTTTGTATATTCTTGACTTACATTCTGTACTCAAATGTTTGTTTTTCCATATGGGATATTTAAGATGTCCTGATATTGCGGCAGCTTTACTGGCTTGTTTCCTTACATCTTCTTCCAGGAATCCTGAGCTTGTAATTTTGCATCCGAGGTGTTCGAATGACATTATCTGATCAATAGTTTTGTTTTTTATTACCAATTTGCACCGTAGAGGCTCCTTTGTAATGGTCATGCATTTGGTCTTATCTGTGGAAATTTGCATGTTAAGTTTTTCTGCCTGTCTGTTAAAAGCTTGTAGCATTCTTTGGAGGTCATCCTCTGACTCTGCAATAAGTACTGCGTCATCGGCATAGCATAATATGTTTACTTTATGCATTCCCATTCGATATCCTAATCCAGGATTCTTGACGGTTTTTATTACTTGATCCATGATTGTGTTGAATAGCAGAGGGCTGAGACTGTCGCCTTGGCAAATACCAGTTGTAGTTCGAAGATGCTGCGTTAAGGTAAAGTTTGTTCTTATTTGGGTTGTTGTGTTTTTGTTTAAGTCCTTGATAAGTTCTGTGAGTTCTTTCGAGACATTACTGCTTTCCAAGATGGTGATGATGTCTTTTAGTTGGACTCTATCAAAGGCCTTTGTTAAATCTATAAAACATAGATAGCTGCCAACAATGCCAGCATGTCAATAAAAAATATGCTTTGTAAAAATTATATTAGTATAGAATTTACTTAAATTAAATTAATTATTTTTTATATTATACACGGTTTCTAGTTTGAAGTTTTTAAACCAAGCGTTTTGGTAAAATATGCAGACAATAATAATAGGGCTTATATTCAAATAATTTTTGTAGATAAATGGGAGATTCAAATATACCGTGTGTGTCTCAAAAGTGGCTCACCCCGATATTTTTTTTATTTTTTCAAATAAAAATCGAGATTTGGTATGTTAGTATATGACATAAATTAGGATTAATTGATGTATTCAATTGTTTTTGATCACGGCATGTTTCACCGGAAATGACTACAACTTTTTAGTGTCTTGTCCTGGCCAGTTAGAAAATGCTCAAATCGTATTTTTAATCGTATCTCAATTTTTTCAAACGGAACGAGAGTGACTCATCAGCATATTTGGAAAAAAGCATTTTTTTACGAATAATTTGATACCACACACTTGGTATTTCGAGTCAAATTTTCGTTACGAACCGCAAGTTATAATTTCAAATAAACCAAATGCAAAAATGTCGAAAATTGACATATAATATGTCATTCTATTCAGAGTGTTATTTTCTATTGAATAAAGTAAAAAAATACCGAGGGTGTCATTTAAAAATCAAAATTTGTAGTCATTTCCGGTGAAACAGGAAGTGACCGAAAACAATTAAATACATCAATTAATCCTAATTTATGTCATATACTAACACACCAAATCTCGTTTTTTTAACTACAAAAATAAAAATGTTATAAGGGTGAGCCACTTTTGAGACTCCCCCGGTATATTTACACTAAATCTGAAAATTTTCCTACCTCCAAAGTTTAGACAGGGTGTTTCAAAAAACTTGTGTCATCTCTGGTGGGGAGATTCCTCAAGTAAAAATAAAATTTATTTTTTACATCAACATAGGTCGGATTTTGCTTTGTTTCGTAGCTACAGGGTGTTAAAATCTTTAAGAATTTTTTTTTCGATTTATTTTAATTTTCTTCAACAAGTGTTTTTAGCGATTCAAATGAAATTTTGAGGGTAAAACTTACTGTAAGTGCAACATACCCAAGCAGCATTTGGACGTCGGGACAACGTCGTGTCACGCGACCAAACGTCGGGGCGCAACGTCGGCACAACCTCGTGCCAACCCTAGTCTGCACTAGTTTGTAGAATAATTTTTGGGTCGAAACGACGTTGGATACCGACGTTGTCTAGCAGCTTAATTTAGTACAAACTGCAACGTTGTTTAAAATCCTAATTCACAGAAATACAAAACTATAATAATATGGCGTCTAAGTCGCGTTTTATCCTAAATTGGGATAATTATAGTAAAAACATTATTTTTATGATTTAGTTAGAGACATATGCCCGATGGCAGTAAAGGAAAACAAAACAAAAGTATTTAAGTGTGGAGGATGTTTGAAGATCATAATTATTGAAACACTTTAACCGACTCTGTATCTCGTTACCCAAGGCAAAAAAGTTAAACGCAAACAACTTTATTGATAAATGTATTGTTTCTACTTTGAAAAATACTATTCAAAAAGCAGGAATTGCTATTTTAAGAAAGAAACATTTTCAACATGGCGGCTTTCACTTTGTTGTTTTGGAAATTAAGATGGAGTAGTTCGAGTAGTCGCATACTGGACTAATAAAGTCGCAGTTCAGCCTTAACAGGTAGTATACTAGTCGCAAGATTGCCTAATTTAGTCATCCTAGAGTCTAGCTTGTGCCGCCCTCTATATTCTAAATAAACGAGGGAGTGGATAAAGTGTCGGTAATATGTCGATGTATATTTAAATTTAGTTTTATATGTACCTTTCTTATGTCCCATTGTAATTAAGTTTTTTTTTATAAAGACAAAAACAGCACTGAACTGTCTGACTGAACAGAACAATGAAGTGAAAATTTAAGATTTTATTTGTTTATTATAGCTTATGGTTCAATACAGTTGCAAAAAAGTAGTGGCTCGACGTCCTACCAACGTAAGAATAAGGAAATCTAAACAATGTTGGAATTAATAAAACAGACGACGTTTGCATAACGTTGGAATAGGTCCTGAAAGTGACGTCGGAAAACTCTTTATTGCACAACATTGTAACTACGTTGTCCGAATCACCTAAAGATCACTTAAGCAAAAAAGGTTACAAGACTACGTTTATTCGACGTCGCAGAAGCTTTTACTTTGTTGTACTACTAGTTCAACGTCGGCACAATGTTACAACAACGTTTACATTTATTTTAATACCCAAGGTACGGAGCTAACTATTTTTTGTAACTAATCCAACGTTGTGTTTAGTAAACATGTGGTCGCAAGTCGTGAAAATGCTACACTAGGATGACTAAATTAGGCAATCTTGCGACTAGTATACTACCAGTTAAGGCCGAACTGCGACTTTATTAGTCCAGTATGCGACTACTCGAACTACTCCATCTTAATCTCCAAAACAACAAAGTGAAAGCCGCCATGTTGTTAAATAAGAAAATGTTTCGTTCCTAAAATAGCAATTCCTGCTTTTTGAATACATTAACTTAACATATTTGACCCTAAAAAACACGAATAAATTATTCTCATTTTACTAAAAAAAAAATCAAGAAAATTTTTAAAACTTCTTTAATTTTAAGGCCCATTAGTATTTTTCAAAGTAGAACAATACATTTATCAATAAAGTTGTTTGCGTTTAACTTTTTTGCCTTGGGTAACGAGTTACAGAGTCGATTAAAGTGTTTCAATAATTATGATCTTCAAACATCCTCCACACTTAAATACTTTTGTTTTGTTTTCCTTCACTGCCATCTGACATATGTCTCTAACTAAATCATAAAAATAATATTTTTACTATAATTATCCCAATTTAGGATAAAACGCGACTTAGACGCCATATTAGTTTTGTATTTCTGTGAATTAGGATTTTAAACAACGTTGCAGTTTGTACCTAATTAGGCTTCTAGCCAACGTCGGTATCCAACGGCGTTTCGACCCAAAAATTATTCTCCAAACTAGTGCAGACTAAGGTTGGCACGAGGTTGTGCCGACGTTGCGCCCCGACGTTTGGTCGCGTGACACAACGTTGTCCCGACGTCCAAATGCTGCTTGGGTAACCCCCTGTAGCTATGAAACAAAGCAGAATCGGAGCTAGGTTGATATAAAAAATAAATTTTATTTTTACGTCAAGCATCTCCCCATGAGGGATGACACATATTTTTTGAAACAACCTTTGTATACCGACTGGAATTTCAAAATTTATCAAATTGTCCAAGCCAATGTTCTAATAGATGATATACACCTATGGAGAGAGTACAAAAATATAAATATCTAGGCAGTTGGTCAGCAGAAATAAAAGCTCGAATAGAAATAGCCAGAGCAGCCTTTGTAAAACTCAAAAAATGTCTCTGCAGTGGAGACATCAACTTAAAGCTTAGATTAAGAATGCTAAGGGGTTGCATATTTGCAACTCTACTCTATGGTTCAGAGGCTTGGACACTTAAAAAGGCCGAAATGGAGAAGCTTGGGGCATTCGAAAGATGGTGTTATCGGCGTAACTGAGGATTGCATGGACTGACAAGGTTACAAATGTAGAACTGCGTCGCAGAATTCAGAAGGACGAAGAGGTGATTAACACCCGTAAAAAGAGAAAACTTGAGTACTTTGGACACATAACGAGAGGACCTAAATATACCCTGCTGCAGAACATAATAGAAGGAAAGATAAAGGGCAGAAGGAGCCAAGGAAGAAGAACATCATGGCTAAAGAATTTGAGAGAATGGTTTGGAATGACTTCAAAACCAGTTATTCAGAGCAGCCGTTAACAAAGTTAGAATTGCCATGATGATTTCCAAACTCCATTAGGAGACGGAACCCGAAGAAGAAAAAGAAGATCAAATTTGAAAAATAGTCAATTATTTAATTTTTTTGATAGAATATTTTTTCATAATATTACGCTCTTCCAAACTAATCGTATTATTATTAAAATACAGGGTGTATCTTAATGACATACTAATATTTAAAAAGGTGATTCTTGCACGTATTCTAAGAAAAAAACTTTATATGAATATGTCGTAAACATGTACAAAAGGAATGTTTTTCTATCTTGATATTTTTTTATTTGCTTTTTTATATTATTTATTTATAAAGAACTTTCTCGTTCTCCATGCCATATTTCTATTATTTACCTATTTTTATTTTTGCAGTATATGAACACGGCGTGCGAAAGACAGCTAGGGCTGAGGCAGGAGGACACTTTGGGGAAGACCCTTCAGGAGCAGTTAGTGTACGATACGGTGCAAATAAACACTATGGGTTCGTCCCTTTTGAGGGCCAGAGAATGGAGCGGTCCCATGACATTGAAAAGGAAATCCACACAAGACCCCATTGTCACCTCGTGTAAAGCCGTGCCGTTTTCGTGCGCTGGGAGGTAAGGATCTTATTTTATTTTTTATTTGTCGAGGAATTTTGATAAAACTTTCAGAGCAAAATATTGGGTATCTCGAAAAATGTAATAGATGCGAACATGGTTAAATTGGGGCAAAGGAGCCCCCCCCTCCTTGGTATGTTCACCAAGATGCCACCAAAAAAGTTTTAAAAATTTCAAGGATTGCTGAGTTTTAAGGAAAAAACGGATTTTTTTTGAAAATCAATTTTATTTTTTGCTGTCGTTACTTTTTAGAAAATCAAAAAACTAATTGCAAAGATTTTTGAAAAACAAGGTTTGTACTACATTGTTATAATACATGACATAAATAAAGTATTTATGGGTAATATATGAATGACCTTTAGAGAAATCCTAAAAAATACAGATTACAGAAAACAACATATGTTACACTCTGTCAATCGAAAACCCATCCAAAGCGTTAGAACCGTTTTAGGGATTAGTAGATATACAGAAAAAAGTCAAAAAAGAGAAAGTTTTTTTTAATAAAAACGCCTGTTTATGTTTTGACATCGTATCTATCCAAGCGTACGAAGAATACTTTATTTAAAAATCTCATAGAGACAGTTCAATTTATTTCAAGTCAGAGGAGATTTCAATTTCTTCCAAGTCAACTGTTCATAGGAATCAATAAAACGAGATAACTGCAAAAGCAGAAAGCATGGGAGACCTTAAATTCACATACTTCTTTAACGTAAATATTTATTTGAGTAAATCAACAAATTTCTACAAAAGAAAGTCTAAAAACCGACCCATCATCAGTCTACAAAGGGAAATTATTATGAAAATGCATTCAATATATTTTTACCTAGAAACACTATGGTATTTTTTAAAGTGTCTTTGGCTCAAATTAAGGATATATAATGCCGATACAGTTATTTTAAAATTAATAAATCACATAGAAAAAATATATTTTTCTGGTTTGTTTACATTTATTTAAACCCTAAATGAAGAAAATCTTTAAAAGTACTTTAAATCCACAATATTTTTCCAAGAGATTAGAAATCTTTTGATATTTATGTACCTGTTGTTGATTTAATAAATCGTTTTTCAAGCTGTAACGGAGTTTTCCTTTTACGTTTATATTTTTTATTTTATTTCTCTTAATCAAAAATGTCCCAGAGCTACAAAGTAATTTTATTTGCGAAAAAAATGGGAATAATTTTGTTTCTCGAATTTTGAAAAACAGTTCAATTATACTCGCTTTAATGTTTTTTTTTTAATAGTAGTCTATTAAACAACGCTTTATCGTAAAATACTAGTTGAAAGCATTTTTTATGTACGCATTTTTGTTATTCAATTTTTATATTACCGGATACATTGTTGTAAAATGCTTTAATTGAAATGAGTGCGTATACGGATTGTCCTACAAAAAAAATATTAACTTTTACGAAAAATTTATTCTAAAATGGTTAATCCCGTTTATAGTTTTCCAAATTTTCATATCTCTTTAGAGAAAAATTAAATATATAAATTTGGGTTGTTCACCACATACGACACGGAGTATTGTAGCTAAACGATGAGATTTTTACAAATTGTAAGTTTTGGGTTCGATGAAGGACTATTAGAGGTACAATTTAAAAATAATTTTACATGATACAGAGTGTCCCAAATAAGGAAAAAATATCAAAGTTGTATTTTTTTAAATGGAACACCCTGTATATTATTACATTTTCAGTTTCTACGATTAAAATAAAGGTAAATTTGATTAAGGTTTATTATACTTAAACCTTACCGTTTTTGAAATATTTTCAATTTTGTGAAATTGCAGTAAAAATTTTAACGCTTCATTTCTCCAAGGGTATCAAAGTTTTTAATACTAAATATTTACTGAAGTTTATTTACTGATCAGTTATTGTGTTGCAATAATAAAAATAATACTACCTTATACAGAGTGTCTAAAAATTTATTTTAAATAATTATTAGCTTCAAACGGCAATAACTTGTTTAATTTAAATGGAACACTCTCTATATTTTACGATAATCAGATGCACAATTTAATTATCTATCAAATTATATTATACCATTTTTTACCTATCTCTTTAAGTTTCCGTAGAAAATGCATTTTCTTGTAATTTAGAACTTATTTATCAATATACCCATGGACTATTGACATTTTAGATTATTTTTAAAGATGTACCAAATTTTTCAAGAGTACAGATACTAATATTGTCGATATAATTCGTTTATTTCATTAAAAAATAAAAAAAAAACTGTTTAAATATTTGTTAAAGAGGATCAATTAATATGATTCCAGTAATGAAAATACATTAACTGACTGTTTGCGTTGATTAATAATAATTGCTCCAAATAGTAAAAAACTGAATTTTGTATGGGCATTAGACAGTGTGATAAAAAGTAACACCTTAAAAATGATATTTCATTTTTTAATAAATGCTTATTTATAACAACAGAGACTTTAATTTGATAACTTATTATTATATTGATTTCTGACTCAAATCCACATTTATTTATAATAATTTATTAACGAACACAATTAAGTATGTAATTAATTAGTATATGGGCGGAAATTATGGTGTTATATTTAATTAATGGTATACTCTTTTATAAAGATTTAAATAGTTTTCTTTTTGCATACAAATGGGCTAGTAATACTATCGTTTTGCTAAAAACAATAATATTACTAGTCTGTACATTTTGTACATTTGTTGCTTTAAAAACAATCTAAAATGTCAATATTCCATGGATATATTGATAAATGAGGTCTAAATTAAAAGAAAATGCATTTTCTACGAAAACTTGAAGGGATAGGTAAAAAATGGTATAATACAATTTGATTGTGCATCTGATTCTCCTAAAATATACAGGGCATTCCGTTTAAATTAAAGAAGTTATTGCCGTTTGAAGCTAACAATTATTTAAAATAAATTTTTAGACACTCTGTATAAGGTAGTATTATTTTTATTATTGCAACACAATAACTGATCAATAAATAAACTTCATTAAATATTTAGTATTAAAAACATTGATACCCTTGGAGAAATGAAGCTTTAAATTTTTTACTGCAATTTCACAAAATTAAAAATATTTCAAAAACGGTAAGGTTTAAGTATAATAAACCTTAATCAAATATACCTTTATTTTAATCGTAGAAACTAAAAATGTATTAATATACAGGGTGTTCCATTTAAAAAAATACAACTTTGATATTTTTTATTTATTTGGGACACTCTGTATCTTGTAAAAATATGTTAACCCCAAACTTACAATTTGTAAAAATATCATCGTTTAGCCACAATACTCCGTGTCGTGTGTGGTGAACAACCCTGTATATTTGAATTTTTTATATGTATAAGTATTTCGTATCTTTAATTTTCCAGAATGCCAACCCATTTCATCCTTGTCTTCGACACAAATTCAATAGATCCAAATATGCTATCCCAATCCAGGGGCAGCATACATTCCATAAGACGTGGCTCTACGGACGTTAGAAGCGTGGGAAGCGACTATCTCAGACGTACGTCTTTAGCGAAATTGAACGCTCTACCATTAGAAGCACCAATTACGAAGGTAGGGTATATATTTTAGTATTACTTTTTACATTAAATAAAAAATGCTTATTGTTTACTAAGATACAATTAAGATTAGAACCTTTGCAGTTTCATCAGAAAATTATGAAGTCAAAATATTTTGTTCCAGTGGGTCGATTTTGATGACATTTTAAGAAATTTGTAGCTAAATTATTTGCCTTTTTATTGTCTTTTTCTAAATAACAAAAATAAAGTCTGATTTATTTATTATAAATGGGATACCAAAATGTTGTTGAATAGTTTATTAAAGTAAGGAAGAACTTTATCATCAAGGTGCATTTTTCTCCAGAGTTTGTTCTTTTTGGTTCATTTAAAATAGCTTTATTTTTATTGAGATAGTCGTTTTCGAGGTAGACAGTAGCGATTTATAGGAAATGTAGCATTAAAATCATGTATTTAATTTTGGTCTCCATCACACCAATGAAATACTATTTATTCTGTTTCTAATTTGACTATCAATGAAAAGTCATATCGTCCTATTACTGTCAAAAGTCACTAACTGTCATTTTATTGACTACACTTTTTACATATTTTTTTATCTTAAAGAGTTTTATGAAATGAATATAATTCAAAATATGACATATTTCCTAGTATCGTTTCAATCATAGTTAGTATCAAAAATAAGATACAAAATTGGATAACTGATTTGTGCAATGCCATCACCTTTTAGACGCAGCAGAGTTAGTTTCCAATTCTAGTTGGAAAGTTGATCACTAGTGTGTTCATTCCTTTGAATGAGAAGACTAAGGAAGGAGCATATCAAAAATCTTAGGTCCACCGCGATGGGCCTCAAATATGGCGGAAATTTCGGTTTATCAGTGCCGTTCTAATTTTATTTGAAAAATGTAAAACTATGATGTAGGGTAGACGTGGGGTAGACTCAATAATATGTTGTTTTATTTGACGTTGTGAATAAATGTTGGTAGTTATTAAAATTGTTACAAAAATATATAATTCTGATAAAAATAGATAAGTTATAATAATTATTCATTAACACAAACATTCGATACCCTACTGAAGCAGGTAAATCTGGTAAATCAATTGATTCTTTGACATCTAATCTTTGACAAGTAGTAAATAAAGCAAAAATGCAAAAAAAATTATATAATTAGTTAATTTAAGTGAATTTCATAAATGATCGGTTTACTACACGTATGTATATTATATAGTCACTTACTAGCGAAAAGTTGTTCCATTAATTTACTCGATTTTTGCCGAGATTTACCGCACGCTACACAACCAACTATTTTAGAGTCTTTTTCGATAAATCGCGATAGTGTCACTGTCAATTTAAGTTCTGCCACAATTTCCATCTAGATTTATTACCTTTATACAACTATCAGTAGTAGAATAAATAACAAATAACATAAAATAAGCTCCGTAAAGACTGACAAATCCATAAAATTTCAAATCAAATTCAAATGTGTCAAATGAATCGTCAAACAGGACTGTCAAGGATCCCCACCCTAGAGTGCTTTTTCCGCCCACCATGCATGAATACATGAATAGCATTATGCTCCTTCCTTAGTCTTCTTATTTAAAGGTTCAATCAAAGCAAAACTAGGTACAACTAGGAACAACAGATATAGATCATATCAACATTTGATACTTATACGTAATAAACTTGACCGGTGCAGCGTTGCCGACTTTTACATATTATTTTCTATTTATGAAAATATTTTATGAAACAAAAATTAATTAATTATATAAATATGTAAGCAGTTATTATTTACATTAACTCCTCTATAACAGCACTTAAGGGACATAAAGGACCATTACTACCGCTTTCCTGTTCAAAATATTCTAATAAAGTTGCGATGGTTTTTTTGCGGCTATTAAGCTATCTTGTACACCTCGCACTAAAAGAGGTTTTAAAAAGACCAATGTTTGATTGCATGGTCTGCTAGTAAACATTTTTATTCTCTATTTCATAGGTACGATAATGATGACAAAATGTTTTAATGCTAAAATAGTTAATAATATACAGGTCTGTGAAATAAGTAATTTAATAAGTTTTTTAAAAATTGTTTTTATTTTAATGGCTGATTTTAACTAATTTTGAGCGCTGATTCCAAAATAAAATTAATTTTCTGTCACGTCTGGTTATCTCACAAAAAAAGGACCTACTTTGGGAAAAAAATCAATTAAACAAAGTTTTTAAAATAATTCTTAAAGTTTTAGTTTTTATTTAACATTAAGGAGTACTATATTTTTTTACATTCATATAACGAAATACTAAAAAAAAATCATTTAATTCAAAAGTCTTTATAAAATCTCTTTCGCTTGACATCAATATTTCTTTTAGTGTTTTTCTTGCTGTGGGTACGCTCAGGATCGTCTCTTTTTAACTTACAGCAGTAATCTGCTATCATATTGACATTCCATCTTCCTTGATACCTTCTTTCCATTTCTTTGATGTCTTGATGAAATATCTCTCCCCGTTCTTCACTGACATCACCAAGATTTGAAGGAAAGTAGTCCAGATGGGAGTGGAGAAAATGGATTTTAATGCTCATGTTGCATTTTAATTTTTGAAAATTGTCCAGCATTGTATGAATGATCGTTTGGTAGTTGGGGTCTTTTTTGTTTCCCATAAAATTTATGACGACTTGTTTGAAGGATACCCATGCTGCTTTTTCTCTGGCATTCATTTGTTGCTCGAAGTTAGCATCCCTCATAAGTTTCCTGATGTCAGCTCCAGTAAATACGCCTTCTTTTAGTTTCGCCTCGGATAAACCAGGAAACTGCCCACAAAGATATGTAAAACAATTTCCTTCTTTTGGCAATGCCTTCACGAATTGTTTCATTAATCCCAATTTAATGTACAATGGCGGTATAGTAAACGCCACGAATGTTTGGGAGTGATTCATCGGTCGCTGCCATGTGAACTAATCTGTTCAAGGTCACATAAAACTTAATTCCAGTGCCGTGGTGCTTCAAGTCATATAATAATCAATATATAATCCATTGTAATTTGTTGTTTTAACTGTCAAAATCTTGTCAAAACATATGTTTGGTTATAAATATAAACTGGAATGCCCCATTGGTCGCACTGCCAGCACAGCAATGGACTGACGCATAAAAACGAATCAATCAAAGAAACGCATTATAGTATCGTCTTTGTTATTCACGCTAACATTTTAGAATAAGTAGAAGGAACGCAGGCCGATGATTAGACCGGGCCTTTAAAAACCTACGTCTGCGGTAAAAATTTACGTTTTTAATGTAAAAATGATAGCGCGCGTGTCGATTCTAACTTCATCTAGCGATGAATCACTCCCAAACATTCGTCGCGTTTACTATAGTAATATCTTATTAGTAGTGATGGGATAATTCGATTATATTGAAATAACCGACATCGCTCGATTATGAACGAGCGATGCAAGTAACGAGTACCAAGCTACGAACGCAAGGGATTCTAGAATGAAATAAATTTAAATCCGATTTTAATGTGACATACTCGATAAGGTTATCAGGTTATTCCCCTGGACCCTTCATTTATTTTGGCTATGGCCAGCGATGGCTATGAAATGAAGATCGCTGTCATTTTATAGGTAAATTTATATGGGAAATGTCATCGTTCGTCATTTCCCAGCCAACTGGACCGGTTTTTTTCGATCATACGGTATAATTTAAGTCGAAAAAACGATTTTCTTGTGGAAATAACAACTTTTTTAATCATAACTTAGTGATCATCAGTATAAAATATACATTAAAAATAACATATACAGTAAACCTACACATTATCTTTTGTCGATTATCTCGATAAAAAGCCGAGCGAATTTTCTACATACATTGCAGGTAGCAAATTTATACGACGCCGTATATGAATATGTTATATCATCAAATTCGAAAAACACTTTTTAAAAAAACTTTATTAAACTTAGTTACAAAATTATTAGTATTTAAAAATGTTATTTAAAAAAATTACTATAATAAAATAATCAAAAATTAAGTGTCGTTCTGCACTCGATAAAAATTAATATAAAAGTCTCTATTTCCAATACATGATTTCCTATTAAATATAGAAATAGTCGCTGAGGTTGCTCCAGTACTATTCCGTTGGAAATGCTGATGTTGCTGGTTGAATGACCGCTCGGACTTGGCGTCGATGGCTGGCGTCACGCGGGGTTTAGTGGCCAACTTATATAACATGTATTTATCCGTTGCGTATCTGAGGGACAAAATTTTACGACCCACATCGACAATGCTTTGAAATAAAGTAAAACTAAATACTAAATCAAGCGGTCAAGCGAATCGCTTGCCGCTTGCTGCTTGCCATTCATCACTGCGCACGCAACTTATTGCTTGGCGCTTGGCGTTAACGAGTGCTTACAACAAGCGACGGGTGAAAAACATTATTTTAAAAAACGAGTGATATTTTGCTCGAGCGATTACTCGGTTACTGCAATCACTTGAAACTCGAGTACTTGATCATTGAAATTAATCCCATCACTACTTATTAGGATCTACAACGCTCTCCCTAACAACATTTTTATCTCCAGCCTGCAAAGTTTTTCTCATTGGCCATTTTTTTTTAACATAGTGTTATTTTCGATCGCGACTATCCCACTCGCAAAGAAAGCAAGGAAACTTTGTGCAGCCACTTTGTTGTCCAAACAACATGGAAGTGCAGGCAAATGAAGAGTGATGCAGTTTTGAAAGAATTCCTTTAGCTTGTGCTAGTACAGCTCTCCAGTAAAAAATAGAATGCTTATTCCAAAAGCTAAATTATTTTCTGTTTTTATTTAATTTCTTGCAGTATTTATACATCAAATATAAAAATTATTTAGTAATATTTCTACCGTTCTTGAATTAAAAAGGGCTAATATATTTAAAAAAATAAGCAAACTAGCTTATAGTGGCTATGCCATTTGTAAGAAAACTGTACGTGATGGATTTTTTTTACTATTTTTGCCGTAATCAACGTTAAAAATACTACAAAAATCACTGGTAATAGTTCAGACAATTTTTCCGTGATTGTTAGTTTACGTGTTGTAGAAAAGTTTCCATTTGGGTAAAATATAAAACCATTTTTGGAAACACACTTCCATTTTTCCAACATAAAAAACAATAAAATAACTGAATGAGAGCTTTCCAAACACAAGATATTAAATTTCCCGCAGCATTTCCGAAATATCACCGACAACACAATTCAATTACGATATTCCAAGTTTTATTGCGGTCGAGTGGAGTTATTTTTTCAGCGAACTTTGTATTATTTTTCAGGTAATAGGCCTAATCGATCAAATACGAGAAAGTTTAGGGTCGAACCCCCAGGCGATCCAACTAATTGACAGAGTGGAAGACATTCTGAAAAGTTCCGAGCTCTACGTCTCTCACGTCAAGGAGGACTCCAAAGTTAAGGCTGACGAACCTGTTGTATCGGATCTCATAACGGCACTACTTTCGGTAAGTTTAATATTTCTCTTGTGGCTCATAGTAGTAAACATCCAACTAGCAAAACTGAATTCTAAAAGGACTAAATTTTTAAGTACTGTATGTTTTTATTTAAGTATTTTGTTGCGATCAGCGGCAGCTGGTAGAATTTTGATTTACTATATTTGTTTGCCACCTAGCTTTGTTTTTTTTTTGGCTAGAATCGCTATATGTTCCAGGTGCCCTTTAAGATTAAAGCAACGTAATAAAAAAAGTATGTTTATTAAACTAATAATATAAATTATAAGATAGATTGATTTGAAACAATTTGGAAAGTATCAAGACATTTTATAATACTAAGAGTACTTACAGCACGACACTTGACTAGCACGATCTGACTGACTGACTATCTGACTAATCCATTAACTATCCACTCTCTCTTACTCTCTCAATATACTCTTTTATTATCGTCTTTTCGTCGCAGTCATCGGCAGGTACGTCATCAAACAGTTTATAGTATATCTCCACTGCCGATACCTGCGAAGACTTCGCCTTGAATTTATCACGTTTAGGTCTGCAACCCGACTTTAATTGTTCTATTAACAGTGTTTATAATTTATTATAAAGATCATGTCTAGGTCGCCATCATACGGACCATGCTCTTGAGGTTAGATGAAATTTGCATACTAAAACTTTTTTTCAAATGATATATTATTAAAATAATTTTAAAATTTGAAATTATTTTTATATTCGACCAAGCACCAAAGCATTTTTTTTTAAATTAAAAATTATTATTTTTTAATTTATTATAATTTCTGTCACACTTTTGTAATTTTTTTGTAATACAACGCTATATTATTTTAAGGAAAATTAAAAAAATATATAAAACGCTGAACTTTGATTCTTTTGGTAATATTTAAAATTTTTCGTCAAAATATTACAAACATTATAAAGAAAAACAAAGTTAATTTGTAATTTTAAAAAAAATTGCATTGGTAGTGTAGGGTGGACCATTTTGGTTGTTTCTATAGGGTATCTAGGAAACTGTAAGAAATATTCATATTTTGATACTGCAGTCTCGGTTTCTTTTTTTTTTTTTGAAAAAATCACAATGACGCAAACGGACCGTGGCTATCTTGATCGGTTTCGAAGTTACAGGGGATTCTCAAATTTTGTACTTTTTGAAGATGTTCTATAATTTGTTTGTTTCAGCCAACCACGAAAAAATGAATTATACATTCTAAAGGCACTTTTATGTGTAGAATGCAGTGGCGTAGTCAGACTTTTTTCGAAAAAAAATTTTTTTTAAATATTAACTATATTTATGTTTTTTTTTAAATAGAACCCCCTGTATATTTTTAAATTTCCTGATTCAGCTTGGCATGGGCTTCTCGAAAATATATAACACTATATATTTATTTTCACTATTAACCTCAACATTTCAAAATTTTCTTAAAATATCCAGTTAGTAGTAGACCGCGCCGAGTAACAATGTAAGCGGTTGTCATGGTGATCGGAACCTTTAATTATGGTAAATAATTAAAGGGTACTAAGGATACTTAAAGGTATATATATATAAAGGATACTTAAGGATAATAAACAATGCCTTTGATGGATGCGTGACATTTCATTTCAACAGATTGAACGTATATTTTAAATAATAAAAAAAATGAGTAAATTTGAAAATTTTGAGAAATATATGTTAGAATGTTATATTGAGTCTAACAAACACAAGCAAATGGCAGCTGATTTATATTTTGAGCGGTATCCAAAGCGCGAACAACTAACCCCAGTCATTTAAAAAAAAATGCAAATTTTAAAATTGTATTTAGTAATTCAAAAATATTTCTGGAAGACCCTAACTTCACTCACTAAAATTGGGTGTCTAGGTTCTATGATCAGAATAATATAGTACATAAAAAAATAAAATTGTACTAGCTGCCACTGATTGAGATCATTTTGTTTTGTAGTAAAAATTACTGTACTGAATGATTTTATCATAGTCTTACAATGCGATTGCAAATCGCAACTGGTGTAATATTGGTTGCCTAAAAATCCAAAATCGGCAGATATATGTTCCAATCGCAAGTCGCAGTTTGCTATGGAAAGGAATCACAGGTTGCGATTGCGAATTTACAATCGCTGCGATTAAATCGCAGTTTGCGATTTTCTGCTCATCTCTAATGGCAACATAGGTCGTAGATTAAATTTAAAAGAAGGAAACCCCAGAAAAAAATCCAGTGGCTCTCAAATTTAAGCATTTTTTTTCAAATTTTCAAAGTAAAATATCACCAAACCAAAAACGGTTAAAAGAAAATATGTTTATTTTATACCAGCCCTGAAAATGTTTACATTCATTTAAGACTCACCCAGCATATATCTAGTTGCAGCATTATAAAATTGTTACTGCAGCTTGTTTTTTAAACTACTAAATATTGTCTAAAATTTTTAAAATGTTCCAAATTGTTTGAATTTATATTCATTGTTGTTATAATATTGCTCTTATTTGTTAGAAAACACCCCAGCCAACACTGTCAGCATCTTCGAGGAGGAGTAGTAACGATTCTTCAGTGTTTAGACCTTCTAGGACAGGACTGATTAAAGTAAGTATATCAAGAACATTTTATTAATATAAGCAATTTAATAAATCTGACTTTTCAGTTTTTTAGTATTAAAATTCAGTTTAATGATTTTTTTTCAAATTAAAAAATTCAGTTATCTGAATTCAACGAGGTGAATTTTTAATTATCATTAAAGTAAGTTATATTAAATATATCTTACTAATCCAAGAAATTTACTAAAACTAACTTTAAAGTTTTTTCCAATTTAAAAATTCAGTTTTCTGAATAAATTCAACCAAGTGAATTTTTAATTTTCATATTTTTTAATTTCGCATTTATGTCAATATTTGTTTTAAATTTAATTTACTATTGAAGATTAATAATTTCATATGTTTCAAATTGATGTTTTATTATTAATATCAATATTTTTAATGTTACTCACAACATTAACACGTCTTCCTATAAATTTTTAATGCCTCTATAAATAAAAGATGTGTCTGTAAGTTCGTATCAATATTATCAAAACCGTTTTCTCTTTACGAACACCTGTCGGCTGAAGGCAACAAGTCGTGAATAGTAAATGCACTAATGCCTTTTACTAAATTGAACAATTTATTATTAATGATTTCATACGTGTTTATTTTACTAGAAATAGAGCAAATTAAATAAAGCGTTGAAACATTAACATAGCTAGCTATAAAAACATTTGTTAAAATATTAATCTATTTCCGCTTTTATTTATGAATTTATTGTTATATAAAAGCTAAAAAAATGATGCACGCAGATACAAAAAAACGCAACTGAAAAAGTTGTCGTCAAAGTTATTTTTTTTTTATTTTTAGCTTTAATTTTTATGAATGTTTTAGCAATTTTTTTGTAAATATATCAACTTTAGTTTGTTAGCTCAGTTTTTTATAGACCTTAGTATTTGGCATAGTATTACTGTAATTAAAGTTGATATATTTATACCGGGTGCGTCTCAAAAGTGGCTCACTCCTATAACTTTTTTATTTTTTAGACAAAACAACGAGATTTGGTATGTTAGTATATGACATAAATTGGGATTGATTGGCGCATTCAATTGTTTTCGGTCACTTCCGGTTTCACCCGAAATAACTACAACTTTTGATTTTTAAATGGTACCCTCGTTATTTTTTTACTTTATTCGATAGAAAATGACACTCTGAATCGAATGACATACAATATGTCAACTTTTGACATAGTCACTCAAAAACAAATTGTATTTTAAATTTCAATCTAGAGTGCCATGGCTGTATTAAAAACACTAATTTTTAATCAAGAAGCCTTGGAAAAATAGATTTGATCATCTAATGTTTTTAGTGTCTTGTCCTGGCCGGTTAAAAGATGCCCAAATCGTATTTTTAATCATATCTCAATATTTTCAAATGGAACAAGGGTGGCTCATTAGCATATTTGGAAAAAGCATTTTTTGCAAATAACTTGATACCACACACATGGTATTTCGAGTCAAATTGTCGTTATGAACCGCATGTTACAATTTCAAATAAACCATATGCGAAAATGTCAAAAGTTGACATATAATACGTTATTCGATTCAGAGTGTCATTTTCTATCGAATAAAGTAAAAAAATACCGAGGATGACATTTAAAAACCAAAAGTTGTAGTCATTTCCGGTGAAACCGGAAGTAACCGAAAACAATTGAATATGTCAATCAGTCCTAATTTATGTCATATACTAACATACCAAATCTCGTTATTTTATCTGAAAAAATAAAAAAGTTATAGGGATGAGCCACTTTTGAGACGCACCCGGTATACAGTTTTCTAAAAAAATCATGTGTCTACATTAAACTCCGCGCGCACTGAATGGGTATCGGCGAGAGCGAGCAGCACGTAATTTTTACGTTAAAATAAACGTAAGCCCGCGCACCGCATTAGATCGGTGCGCTCGGTGCGCTTCGAACTATCGGCGGTACTCGAGCCATCAGGCGAAATCAGACAATGCATGGGAGGGGGACGAATAGTCTACGCCGAGCGACTGTTTTAAGTGGAGCGGTTTTAGATTAAACATGTCCGATGAATTATTAATCGAAAGTGTACGAGACCATATCATACTTAATATGCGGTTCTTTATAAAAATTTCTTACAAGCACGTAACCTATATTGTTTACTACACTTATTCAATAACTGAATTAGAAAATCTTCCGATTAAACCCATTGATTTCTCATTCCGTTTTGATTATCTCACATTATTATGGAAATCGAATTAAAATATCGTCAAAAAGCTTATCATATTATTTAATTTTTGGTTTGTTTTGACGTTAGTAATAACAGCTGATAAATAGTCATCCTATGTTACTATGTTGATTGCTCCGTACAAGGTACAAATAGAGAAAATAATATTTATGATTTAATAAAATATTTGTACATATATCTACCGTATGATAGAAAAAACCGGCGTCCAGTTGGATGGGAAATGACGATTGATGACATTTCCTATATAAATTTACATATAAAATGGCACCGACCTTCATTTCATGGCCATCGCTGATGCCGTTCCTTTTCGATAATACGGTACTATAAAAATTATTTATATTTTTTCTTTTTTCAATTTTCTTTGACTTTTTTATTATATTTTAAGTTATAGCTATAATATACAATACAATTTTATCACTAACAATGTGTTTAATATATAATTTTTTCTTACCACAAACGTAGAAAATTAGTTATACGTATATTATAGATTCTGAAGAAGACCGAATTAAAATTGGTCGAAACGTCAATCATTAAACAAAATGTAAACACGTGTTTCGTTTTATTTACTACTGACTTAAAACAAAGATTTTAAAAACTTAAAATAAAAGCTATATATAAATGTTTGTAATGACACTTATTTAGATTAAAAAACTAAAAATAGAAGTTTTATTTGACTATTTTTCATATCTAGCTTTGTTTTTAAAGAACAAATTAAACCCTTTTGAATTATACCAAATTTGTTAAAATCGGTCAAGCTAAGAGTCATGTAGTATATTTTATCCCCATCTTCCATCTATTTCACTAATTTTATGTGGTTTGTTAAGATCAAAATATATTAATGTGTGTTTGGTTAAGATCTAAATAATATTAATTTCCATCATAAAGCATAAAATATAAAAAGTTGCATAAAAATATAAATAGTAATAATACTTTATAATTTTTTGAAATGCCGAATGAATTTGACTAAATTTGAATAAACTTCTCCTCCTCTATGCTCAAATTTATGCTGGTGACGTACTCTCGACCGTCGATCGTGCGACTCCAGTGCGCGGCTACAATCGACTTTCCGACCGGTCGTGCCGCTCGCGCCGCTCGCTCTCGCCGATACCCCTTCAGTGCGCGGGTGGTCACTAAAAATTATTTTTTTTTTGTTTTAAACAAAAAGAACACATGTCGACGGCCAACTGAAATTGTCACTAAATTGCTACTTCAATAGCCACTTCATAGCAAACTTAGCAATTTCGTCGGAATGTCTTTTTAATTTGAACCCAAAAAAATTACCCGTAGTTTTTCGTCAAAGGGAAGGATTTTTTGGAGCGCGGGTGTCAGAAAAACAATAATTTTCAACGACCTATTTATCCTTAGGCACCGGCAGCAATTCGCGACCTGCTAGAAACATCCCTCACCTGGGAATTTGACATTTTCAAACTGGAGGACCTAAGCAGGCGGCGACCTCTTCAGCATCTTGGCATGAACCTCTTCAATCATTTCGACGTATGCGGATCACTGAACTGCGACGAAAAGACGCTTAGCAATTGGCTGACTGTCATCGAGGCCAATTACCACATCGAGAATTCGTATCACAATTCGAGCCACGCAGCCGATGTCATGCAGGTACCGAATTTGTTATACCGTGCTGGCAACTGTTACTTCTGGGTCGGCATGTACATGTGTGGAAGTAAATCGCATAGGGATCTTATTAAGTCGGAGTGAGAGAAATGCGACCGACCGACGCGACGCGCGACGGTGTGCTGTTGCGGCGTTGCCGATACGCCTTTCCCTATCAAGTAAAGTAAAATCACGATCGCAAACCGCTTATTTTTAAAAGACTTTTTTTAAAAGAGATAACTAGATAAAATCATTAGACATGTTTGAAATGGAATTATAAGGATATCGTTAGGGTGTCATTTTTTTTATAACGAGAAAACGTCAGTAATCGCGATAATTTAAAAACTCAACTTTTTAACACCAAGAACTTTAACACATACAGGCCATAACTCAAGAACCAGTTTAGATATTGAAACTTTTTTTTGTTTTCAAGATCGGATATTTTACAATATGTTTACATAAGAAAAATTCGATAAGGTTGTTTTTTCCATTCAAAAATTGTAAACAATCCATCCATTTACCTTTAGAGGATAGCAATTTTCAGCAATCGTGTAACTTTTTTATTGATAAAGATTTTCACATACTGTCTACAAAGAAAATATAGCAGAAATTTTAACAAAGTTCTTGAAAAAACTACAATCTATTATTTCTAATAGATTTCGAGATATCGATTTTTGAATTCAGAGTTCTAATAGCGCGACCACTATCGAACACCCACTCAATTCCACTTATTTTTATCAAAAATGCAAGTGTTTCTTTATTCAATGACTTAAAAAGTCAAGCTATAGGGAAAATTACAACGACTCGTTAATAAATAAACAAATTAAGTATCACGAGACGTAATTAAATCGTGAAGCTGAACGCATGACGTACACCTTTCCCTAGAACTTTAAGTACTGACAGAGGTATTGATTGGTTCGACCGGTCAACTGCGACAAATCTGCTATATTCCCTTCCACGTCTCTTAGCGATGTGCACAGTTACTCGGTTTATTTCATACGTTTGGCAACGTGTTTACTGTCCTCTCTTTGTTCAGTACATTATAAACGCACTGTACTCTTCTTACATACGGAAATCTCGACCCAAGACTAACCTTTGCCAGCCCTTAATATATGTAATTCCACAATACCTGTGATTTTTTGTTCCTTTTGCTCTCTGAAAAACATGTTTCATTGCGTTTTTGTATAATATGAAGTGTATTTGAAAGAAAATTTATAATACATCTCTTAAATTCCAGTACTATGTCAGTCTTTTTTTAAGACTTACTTATAAATTTCGTCATCTGTTGATATTTAAGTCGTAAATCCTAATCTATAATCAATTTAAATAAAGTAATGTCAGTTACAGCATACTTTTGTCTTTAAGCTGCATTAAGAACCTCCATATTAGTGTAATAAATTAGTGGTTTCAATTAGGGTAGAAGTTTGTTTCTCTAATTTCAATGTAAGCATTCAAAACGTCAACGTTAGTTTACAAACTAATTTACTAGAAAAAGTTAACAAACTTTTAACTTTTGCCACTAATTATACTTTAAAATTTACGAATAATGTCATTTTGGTCTTTAATTATTATCCGTTTAGAGAAATTGTTGTTAGAAATGAAATGTTTATTGTCTATTAATTATTAGGCTTTTTCTAGGGATACGACTACCGCAAGCTTTTGGTAGCATATTCTGTTAATTTTAGTTGTATTTTTTAGACATTGTGAATGATCGTAAATTCTTTTACTCTAATTCCACTTACTCTTTAAATTTTTACTAAAATAAAATAATCTGAGAGAATAACTCTTAAAAACTTCTTCTCTTTAAGTTTAAACCAATTTTTTAATTTGGATTAATGTTACTAGTAGAAAATTTTGGATATTGAATTAAAAAAGATTTAGAAAAATAACAGAACAATTGTCAAAAGAAATTTTATGAATAATCATTGAATAAAGAATGATTAAAGAATATTATACAAATTCGGCAAAAGTATGAAACTGCGTATCGTAACTTGAAATATTATGCATAATTGTAGTTTATAGTTATTTTTTCATCAGTTAGTGCTTAAAAATTTAGTTGATTTTATGTTAACACAATATTTAAGTAAAGAGTTTTATATCATTTACACTTTGTACATACATATTTAATAAGCATTTTTAAATAAAAATTAAAATTTTATTTTTTTGTTTCACAAAGATTATATTTTTTGAGGAAAAAATAAAAAAAAATTATTAGGTGTTCTTAAAAAATAGTTGAAATTTTGAAATACAAGATACACATAAAATTTTGTTTTTTAGCCTCAGTTGTAATTAAGCTTTTTTAAATTTTTTGCTAAAAAAGGTAAACTGCTAAATCGAAATCTATACAGGGTCCGGCAATAGTGTCGAGGCAGCTGCTCATAGAATAAAAATACTTGAGAATTTTGTTTCAGTTCAAACCTAAAGTATGTACCAGGATGTATTTCAGGAAAATATTTTAACCTCTATAGGGTGGCTCAAAAAAAGTGGATCTGGATGATTTTAAACTGGAACACCCTGTATATTATTGCATTTTTGATTCCTTTCAGATCACTTTCGTACACTCAAGATAAGATAATATATCTTCGATGGTTCGGATATTATCAAATCAAAATATATATTGCCATCTTTCAAAGCCAGGTCTTAATATTCAGTATTGAAATACAAGACCTATTCTTGAAATCAAATATATTAGGTATTTACTTTAGATGGTCTATTGCTACTTTGCTATAAATATGGTAATCGTAAATTTTACAGGATGTCTCAATATTTACGCAACTTTCTAAAATATAAAATAATTTTTCTTTGTTTTTTTTAAATGGAACACCCTGTATATTATTTTTTATTAGAGGAGAGTTAAAAAATGAACATTTTTTTGTATTGAGATTTCAATTTTAACGGTTTCGCAGATACACGCAGTATTATTTCATATGGCGCCTTCAATGGTAAAATACGAGAGAAAAATCATTGAATTACTGTGGAAAATGCCATATGAAATATAAAACCGCAAATATCTGCGAAACCGTTAAAAATTTTGAAATACTGTAAATACAAAAAATGTTCATTTTTTAATTCTCCGTCTACTGAAAAAATAATATATAGGGTGTTCCATTTAAAAAAACGAAGAAATATTATTTTATATTTTAGAAAGTTTGGCGTAGAATTTTGAACATCCTGTATAATTTACGATATTCATATTTATAGCAAAGTAAGTACAGACCATCTAAAGTAAATACATAATATAGTTTTGATTTCAGAACAGTTCTTGTATTTTTAATAATTTTTTTAAGAAGGGCAGAAAAATATATATTTTTGATTTATTTTTTAATATCTCTGAAACTATCGAAATGTATTTATTCATATCTTAGGGTTATGTAAAGTGATCGGAAAGAAAGCCAAAAATGCAATAATATACAGGGTGTTCCATTTAAAAAAAATCATCCAGGTCCACTCACACTTTCTTGAGCCACCCTATAGAAGGTAAAATATTTTCCTGAAATACATCCTGATACATACTTTAGGTTTGCACTTAAACAAAATTCTCAAGTTTTTTATTCCAGGAGCTACAGATGCCCGACGCACTATTGCCGGACCCTGTATAGAAATGCGTATCCTATCATGGAGCGCTGTGCTCAAATTAATAATAAATAAATTAGCGACGTCAAGTCGGCTTTAAAGACACTTGTTGACATTTACTATGTAATTTTAGATATAACATGACAGCACTCATTATTTCCAAGAGAACAATGACTATTTTATCATTAAAAGCATCATTTGATTTAATTATCTATACTAATATATAAAATCCTTAAGTGACTGACATACTGATTAATCACGATCCTGCTCAAACCACTCAACGTAAGGAGCTCAATTTTGGCATACAGGTTGATTCTAGGGTGTAGAGGTTCGATAAGAAGAGATTTTTCGAAATTCCAGTTCCAATAGGGTGAAACCACCCCTCAAATATTACAATATTTTTTTATTTAAATAACGGTCAAGTTTCCTGAAAAACGCTTAAATACGTATATTTTATTTTGTTTTTTTTACATATTTTAAGATTTTTTAAAAATGTATACAGGGTGTTTCGAAAAATCTGTTCATTGATTAATCACGATTCTGCTTAAAGCGCTAGAGGTAAAACGCTGATTTTTGGAAAACAGATTGACTTTAGGGTGTAGAGGTTCGATAAGAATGAATTTTTCGAAACTCGAATTCTAAGGGGGTAAAACCACCCCTCAAATATTAGAATAATTTTATTTAAAAACCGGTGAGTTTTTCGGAAAAACTCTTAAACACGTATATTTTATTTTGTTGTTTTACATATTTTAATATTTTTTAAAAATTTATACAGGGTGTTTGCATCTTTGTATTATTTTTACTATTGAGTAATCACGGTTCTGCTTAAACTACTTGACGTTTAAAGCTGATTTTTGGCAAACGGATTGACTGTGGGGCGTAGAGGTTCGATAAGGAGGGGTTTTTCGAATCTCAAATTCCAAGTGGTTGAAAACGCC